CCGTCAATCAATCTTCAACTTTTAACGACACAGAGGGAAGATTCATTAGTTAGTGATTTATGGAGTTTCCAGATGGACTAAGTTAACTGTAATTTTAGCTGCTGTTAGCATTTGAGCTTGGTACTGTATTTTCTGTCGTCTGCTTGTATTCACAGGAAACGCATTAATCTCCTGAAGTAAGAGCGCTCAGCTTTCTGTTTCATGCAGACTTTAAGGAGGTCTGAGCCCGTTGCAGTGTTGCTGCTGTGCTGTAATCACCTGTGCCATATGAAGAGGAGAGTGTGGATGGATACCCGCCCATCCCCTGTCCAGGTAGATTCTGAGCAGTGATGGACACGGCAGGAGTCGACAGCGTCTGAGCGCTCTGAGAGTGATTTATTCTCTGGTTCTGCAAAGAAAAGAGAAATCTATCAGACAGACTACACACACTGATACCGGAGTAAAAGCATGAATATAAAACTCTACTACATTCAGAACCCTAATTAAAGAGTTACTTACCAACATCAGATCAAAGTCCTCACACTGGAGGGCAGCGTTAAAGCACAGACTTAAATGAGTCTCCATGTATAAATAATAGAAGTTTCAGGGAAATTAACACATTAAAATAAAGAGATACAATGACAGACACACTCACAATGGTTGGCATGTTGTTGCACTTGTTGGAGGGGGGCATCAGCGTCCGAAGGTCTGGCTTACGGCTCATGCTCATTGGAGGACTCTTATCCTGCATGTTCTTGGAGACTCCTCCTGGAGACAGCAGCCCGGGGGAGGTGCAGTGGTTGCTGTAGCTGCCATTTCCTGGTGAGGAAACACAGGCGGAGGTTCGTGTTTAAATGTGGTTTTTAATTCTGATTCACCACCGACAACCTACAGTGAGACAACAGCCTTCACGCACAGGCAGGTCCATCTAACTGTCAGTGGTTCTAAATGCTTTATTTTCTTGGATATATTATATTATATCTTAACTGTCCTGATCAAACACAATGAAATTTTTGATGAGGCCCTCTGTATTTACATGGGGGTTTCTTCCCCATGATATAAAGATAAGATGTTGAATAATAACATGTTAACCAGTCACAAGCCTTCTGTAACAGTCTGGAAGAGCAGAAAGGAGTCGTACCCACAGTGGAGACCACAGTGCTCGTCAGCTCTGAACCCATCAGACCTACAGACACAGAACACACACGGTCAGATTCCAGGAGGTCTGATGTTGTCGTTTAATGTTAATGTTCACACACACACACACACACTCACACACACTCTCACACACACACACACAGTTTA